TGGCGTGGTGGCACGTGACCCTGTGGGATGAGAGGCTAAATTTCGGAAAAACGATATGAGGGGATGGGGGATGACATAAGGGATGACATAAGCCTGCTAAAAGTCGGGCTCTTGTGGTCCCCACAAGGGGGGCCCTCGGTTTGCGATAGAATGGCAAAGGGAAAAGTCGCCTACTGCGGGGCGATTCTAAGGATCTGATTGGCTAGAAAAATTGTGCCAGTACTAATAAAATATAGAAGAGTTGATCAGTAAAGTCTATTCCAGAGAGGATAGTACTTTGTCGCTCACCCTGGATCTATCACGAATGCGATGATGTGGTCCTCTTCCTCATTAATGCTCTTTGTGATCCAATGAACAGCGGCCTTTGAAGGACCGTAAACAGCGTTGGGATATGAATACATTTCCTGAATGATAGGTATATTAGCATATCTAGCCGTGGTCGAAGTATATAAAGATTCCTACCTCTATAGATCCAGCATCAAATCCAATCGTCACAAATTTAGGAGTAGCGGCCTTGCGAAGCAGCGGTAGGGTAGCCTGAAATAGTCGTAGCACGCCGAAGACATTGACATCCATAGTCCGATCCATGTCCTCAACCTTTGCATCGACAACTTTAGTGAAACCGAGCGAGATGGCGGCGTTAGCAATTACGATATCTAATTGATCGATTCCCTGCTTCTGGAGTTCCTTTACAGCATCCACGGCGTCTGTGTTGCTCGTAGCTTCGACCTTCACGATAATGAGGCTGCTTCCGGGGGCTTTAGGTAGGTTGGCAAGCTCCTTAGACGTAGGATGCTCCGGGTTGTGGTTCGCAGCAATGACTTTATGATTAGGCAGGGCGAGGTAGCGCTCAGCAAGGCCCTTACCAATACCTCGATTGGCACCGGTGATTAGAACAACAGTAGAAGCCATTGGTCTTGCGTTGAGGTATGAAGTAGGTAATTACCTAAGAAGCGTGTTTCCAAGAATTTATTCTGAGCATACCTCTACCAGATTCTTTCTTTTATATATGGAAAGACTACTTAAATATTAAGGGAATCTTAGGTTACACTGGTGCAAAAGTGAGATTTTGTGGTATACGCGGTAATTGTAATCACGGAAGGTTAGCAAACCAGAATTAGGATGCGACATAGTAACTGTTGGGATACCAGTCATGTGCCATGCCACGTGACTAGGGTTGTGCCAACACACACCGCCCACGCAAGGTCCACACACACATGTAAATAGATATTCTCCCCACTTGGTAGATCTCTTACCTTACCTAATCAACTCAGACCAATCAAGCAATACAATTTAGTTACCCTTTCTTTATTACGTAATACATACAGAACCTTGTCACTCCAACAGTAACATTACAAATTGACGGATGAAATGAGCAGGTTAGATGGGGTAATATCATCCAAACAAAGTTAGTATAAAAGTGCTCGTTTAAATATTTGGCCGAGATCATGTAAGTGCCGGAAGAGCTTCCACGGGAAGCCAAAGCCACCCTTATGTAATACATCGACCATCCGGTCCCACCAGCTCCCGTACCGACAGGCGCCGTTTGTCTCGGTCTCCCGCTACCGAGTACTCCTGACGCTTAGTCACGGCTGACCTCGGATCCTTTGCCGTTCTCCTTAGCTGATAACTTCAGAGTATAGAAACCCAGCTTTATTTTTAGTCTTCCTAGCACTCCGACAGTTCAATATCTATAGTTTAACCTCCACACCGCACCGCCATGGGGATTTGCCAAACAGCCCGGATCTTCATTAATCCAAATGGCCGCCTCGTTTATTACTGCACGAATGTCATTTAAGAAGAATCGGTAATGAAATCCTCTACACCTAAATTAATCGGCGCATAGCCATTTACCTCGACGTCGCGCACTCTACTATTTGATCCTACTACTATGTAAGACCATATCGGTGTAGATTACCTAGACCTATGCTAATTTTATTTTGAAGACAGGCCGGTCCGTCGATGCATGCGCATTGCCCGTGGCGCAGCCTATCATCTCGAGATGACGCCCAATAATTTCATAGCCTACCACCAGAGGCGTCAAAATAACCGGCGCACCTCTAAAGACAATCATGATGGACAAGATGCGCCCCTTTCTTTGCCGTCCTTCTACCCCCTTTAGATGGAGCTACGCTTACCACGAATAACCTAGTCACTATGAATCATAATGAATCATTCTGACCTGATTCCACGTGACTATACAGACTCGAAAGTTGCTATAGTCATATAACCTGGCAGAATAACGTCAAAAAGGGGGTGAATTCGTCAGTATAGTTGTTAAGAGAATGCACCAGTTATTTTGAGGTTATTGATTATCCTGACTATCCTGGTTGGCTACGAACTACGGAGCTTGTTCCCCTTTTATCGTCATCCGCCATGACCACATCTCTCAAGCCCTCCAAAACCATGGACTTCTACGACATTGCTATGAGCCCACCAGCGTCAGTGAACCCGTGGAAGGCTCGATTAGCGCTGAACTTCAAAAATATTGCGCACAAGACTATATGGGTTCCTCTTCCCGATATTGGGAAAGTTCGTCAGGGTCTTGGCGTGCCCGCTTGCCGCAAACTTGCCGATGGCAATGACTTCTTCACACTTCCTATCTTGGTTGATCCTAATACCAACTCGAAAATTGGGGACTCGTTCGATATTGCCGCTCATCTGCAAAAGACGTACCCGGATTCAGGTGCCGGCGATTTATTCCCCCCTCAGGAGATCGACTATACCTTCGATCAAGACCTTCCCCCTTGGGCGCCACCACTATCAGCACGGAAAGAGGGTGAGTATGACGAGTACTCCAAGTTTAACATGCATATCGACAGAGCATTCAGTGCCTATGTTGGCCTCATGGGGTTCTTCCTCCCCTTCGACTCACAAGCGAGCAAGGATGAACTCGTTCGCCGTGCTGGTGTAAAATCTTGGGATGATTTCGAGATAAAAGGCGAAGCGCGGGAGAAAATGAAAGAGTCTTTCCGTCTTATGCTTGGGGACCTTGCGAAGCTATTTTCAAGGAACACCACGGGGCCTTTCATTCTAGGTAAACAGGCCAACTATGCCGACCTAATCGTCGGCGGGTGGGTATACATGATGCACGGGACTCTCCCAGACAATGAATGGCAGGAGGTCAGGAGTTGGCACGGAGGGGCCTTCGGACATTTGTATGATGGGTTACAAAAGTATGCAGAAGTAAAGTAGATTTTACTATTATGCGACAGAGCCCAGCACCGCTACGTATTACTGATTGAGTTTAACAAGGGAATCTGTATGGTTGGAGCCACAATACTAGGTAAAATTACTAGGTAGTATTACATGTAGAATTACATGTAAACTTACAGAATAAGTCTACTTTCTCCGTTCAGCCTCTCACTCTTGACACAATTCAACTAATCAGATTATCATACCATGCACTACGTTAAAACAACCTTGATTTGACCTTTTTGTCCGTAACAGCTACATATTTGTTTTCATACCAGATTCTCTGCGTGCTTCACCTACTCTCACCTATTCTAGTGATGAGCTGGCTTCTCAGGCAGTATTGCGAAGAGCCTCTCATGTTGTTAGAATTGTCATAATCAGATCAAAGGTCGGTGGAAATGGGGAAGAAAGAAATAGATGTGTATAAAGAAAAGGAGATTTAGCCATAATATAAATAATTATTGTCCTTGTTTGCAAAGAATAGCTACATAGACGTCTTTGATATATCCAAGTAAACAAGACAAAACTTACATCACCCATCTAACCACAAACATAGAAAGGCTTTCCCTCTCGGATCATGTGGTTATATCACCAGGCAGAGGCGCTTTGGACCTGTTAGTGAAGTTATCCACACCATTCAAACGGTGCCATCTAGAAGGAAGTAACTAGGTATGTAAAAGAGCTTGATGGGTTTAGTCTGGTAATATTTACCTCAAGGAGATCGGATTATACCTCCGGGTAGTATTAGGTAGTTAATTAGGATCAGCAGAACTGATAGCTTCGTGATGATGTGTTGTTGGCGTCAAGAGCTATACCATCTACAAAGCTGCAGTAATAACTCAATATAGTTGACTGCCTGGAAAAGGCTAAATAAGGCAATTGTGGCATGCTTGCAAAAAATGACGCTGTCTAGAGATCTTAAAGGAAGTAGGCTTGTAGAATTTATGAATTCATTGCAGTGGATAATGGAGTTGCATTAGGGTTAACAACTTATCAACTTATCCTCAAAGAAAAATAGAGTGACGGTGAATTAATGAGTAAAATCAAATCAATTCGTATAGCCTAGAGCACTTCCAGCCTAATGCAAACGTGTCCCTACCAATTAACCGACCGTGATGCCAAATTATGATACAAGGTGAGGTTCTTCACAAACCGTATCGTTAGAGCCGAGAGTTTTCTTCCCTTCATAAAAACCCCGTGCGCACACGCGAACAATATACGATATGAAGGCTAGTAGCTAAACCTGCATTACCTAACTCCTAAATAGAGCAAGAATAAAGACGAATCTTTCAACAAGTATGCCTAGGGTGGACGTTGAACGAGGCTGAGTCTTAGATATAGACAGCGATGGACCATGAGCGCAGCGCACACTGAATATAGCATGCTACATATGAGTAACTGCGACGTTGGCATGCTTTACAGAGAGGGCTTTGTCTCTCGGTCGATCGCGGCGCCAACTTGCTGGGCTGTCGAAGAGCTGGGGCCACTGGCGCCACCGGCAGTTAGAATCTATTGCATCTGTTAGATATTATGTATTCATCAAGTCAACGAGGTAAAACGAGGTAATATTAGCATAAGAACCTTACCTCTCCACCCATTTCGCGCATCTTCATTTCCTTTTCCATTTCCATTACTTGTTGCTCTTCAGCCCACGCGAGAGCCCACGGGACGCCTAGAATCAGCGCAGAGGTGGTAATCACCCAGAGAGTCTTGCCGCCGAAGGAGAAGAAGCTTGAGACTGCGCCAGTTGTTGCGTTGACCTTGTTGGCAATCGAGGTTCGGGTCTGAGGTGGAATGATGTCGCGAAGCGCATACAGGCGCTCGGTAAGAGTTTCGCTAGAAGGGTCATAGTCCGACTCGGTTGAGATTTCAGACTCTATATAAATTCATGGTTAGGCAGCTGTAAAAAGTAGGACACAAGACAAAGGCGCGTGGCGACCACAGATTCAATATAAAAGCTAGATCACTACAAGCTAGTGACGTACCAGTATCTGTGAAATCATCGTCTTCCTCGGGACCAGGCTGGTCCTCTTGGAAGTGCTCATCGACAACCTCTGTAAGCTGGACCATTGCGACTCTTGGTTGGTTTCCGTTGGTGAATAAGAAATGTAGGTCGAGTTGTGGAATCGGGACTTGAGCTGGAATAACGGGAGAATTTGGAGGAGCAAGAGGAAAATCTTCAGAATCCGATAAAGAATCCATGGCTATCGGCTAGCAGGGGTGTGTCTTTAAAGCTTTGTTTTTATTGGAGCATTGTGACTCAGGTCGGCGTTATTTTGACAGTCACTAGGACAAGTTTTTACGGTGTGTATTAGTAAATGCAATAAAGCGGAGGGAAAGTTTGTGTTTAAGGCATCAGAAGCCTAGTTAACTATGCGTTATATACATATACATGCATATAGCCCATTCACTACCATAGAACCCCTCTGAGCCCCTCTACACGACCGTCTTAATATGCTAACCACCTACAACCCCTCGGCTACACACCTTAACTTAGGTACTTGTCGGTGACGTCACTGGCTAAGAAACCGACTTGGCTCCTGTACGGAATATATAAGCCTGCCTTATACAAGTCAGTTAATATAACTTGGTAGGTTTATGTAAATCTTTAGAAAAGCCTTTGTAGGTATTAACACTATTATTTTACAGTAGATAAAATCAACTAGGTAAATAAAAATATGTTAACCTGCCTAAATACTAAACAATTAACTCGAACCGTACAAGAAGTTCATTGGAAGTTCGTCAACGAATACTAATATCATTGTAACTGCCATATGTACCTCATTATATATAGTACATGGTAAATAAAGATTGTCACTTCGATCTCAATATAAAATGCATAGCATTACCAACTTATAGCTATCCAATTCCTAGAAAATATTCGTTATCGAACGCCAACGTACCATAAATATATCGACACTGATGTCCTACTTTAGACGGAAAAATATTTACTCCATCTCATAAAAACTATAAGTGCTTGCTTTTCGCTATACCAATTCAGCATACCGTCATGACCTAAAATAGAACCAAATAATGTCTCATGAAGCGTGTGCCTCAGCCCTTGTTGGGCGGGGAGTCTGCGAATCTTATCCCTCGTCTCGTGGGGGGTACTCTAGGGGTATCATCGTCTTCACTGTCGCTGTCTTCAGCCCCACCATTGTCTACACCTAACGCAGCCTCCCTTCTCCTCCTCTCTGCAGGAGTCTCCCCTAGATCATTATCCTCGCGGACGCTAGCAAAGGCTGCTAACCGTCGCCTTCTCTCAACAGCTGTTTCTGGTGTGTTCGATGTCGGGGGCTGCTCCGAGTCTGTCGTTGGGCTACGTCCACGAGGCGGCTCTGGGCGAGAAGGAGACTTGCTCGCATCCCGCGTGCTATCACTTGCTTGAGTCACACTAATCTGAGGGTGGACTAGGGTCTGGGCTTGGGGTTGGACTGCGCTTTCGCTGGGTGCTTCCCTTGCCATCGATTTCACTGCTGGATCCGCACTGGATTGGTCTACCACCTCGCGGCGGGTTTTAGCATCCAACTTTCGCACTTCTCTAAGGAAATCATCCTTAGTCATGCGTTGTCCAACGCCACCGATTGTGAATCGGATACCTCGATCATCTTCTACACTCCTTTCAGCAGGAGCAGTAGCATCCTTCCTCCTCTGTTCAGCAGCACCTCCACGGCTGAAGCCTGGCCACCCTCCGGTTTTCGTCTTGGCCCCGGGTTTGGTACTGCTAGTCTGGGTAGGCTCTTTTTCGGACGACGCTTCGACCTTGGGTGCTGTTTTATCAGTTGGCTTAAGGAGACCACCCATTCCCATGTATTTCAAACTGGTAGCTACATAGTCTCTGCCGTCGTTTCGCTCGGTAGGAAGATCGTACTTCCTCACGACTTCTCCGTCTTCGTCTTCCACAATAATCTGCAAACAGGATTAGCTGAGTTTCCTACTGCTCGAATAAGGGATTGCACTTACTGTGTTACCAAACTGGTATGCTCTGGCTGGCTTATGCTTTCGTTCAATCTTTGCCTTGTCTTTACGTTTCTGGGCCTCCTCATCACGCCATTTTCCAATGCTTTTCTTGAGTGACTCGTAAGTCCATCCCGGCTTTTGAGTCTCAGCTTTGGCTTTCTCTTTGACTTCGTGCAGATCTTTAACCGGTTGATGCCCTGTTTCCTCAACCGCAAGAACTTGACCATCGTGGTCTTCAATTATAATATGGTCGCCCTCATCGAACACTTCTAGTTCGTCGTGTTGTTCGCCTCTGGATGGTTGCTCACGGCCCCTCTCACGTTCCGACCCGCGTTCCTTTGTCACATGCACTATTTTCTCGACGTTCTTTTCGCTATCTTTCTCGAGTAGGTCCTCCGATGGCGAGCTGGGGCTTTCTTGCCTTGGTGAGACAGGCTGTACAGAATCAGATGGTGACATAGGCTCTGCTATCTCACTTGCGCTCCTTTTCTGGGGGAAGATGGCCGACTGGCTTACGGGCCCACCAGGTCCAATACCATCATCCCACCTTCTCCTACTACGGCGCCGAGAAGAAGCGCGGCTTCCAGCTCTACTAGGGTTCTCCTCCTCGCGCTGTCGACGTAAGAACTGTCCAGGTATTCCAGTTGGTGGCAATGTGCCAGGTGGAAATTCAGGTAGTTTCACCTCCTCATAGTCGGTATCTGACATTGTTCGGGCTTGCGATCGCGACTGAGATGTGATCCGTGGCAAGCGGCTCATCCAAGCAGGACCTTCTTCCGTAGCAGTGGTAAATGACATGGTGAGTGATAAAGTATTAATGCGCTTTCCTAAGGTGAACACGGCCACTGAAGAACCATGGACGATAATGGAGGAAATCACCATGAATGTAACAATAGGCCACACGAGGAGAACAACATTGTAGAACTCGGTACCCTTCTCCGGCAGTTCTGGTTCAGGAATTGTATGCTCGCTCTCCAGCTCGGCACGAGCAAGTAGGGCAACAAAAATAGCACCTACGCCTATTGGACCAAAATGCCCGGCAAACAGAGCTTCTCGCCATGTCTTAACATCGGGAATGAACGGTTTGAGAAGCATCATAACCGGAATCCGGCGGAAAAGGATCACAAAGATGGCCATGACCACCAGTCTCCAGGCAGAAAGGCCAACATCCACGTTGTTATACTGCTCCCAGGGAATAATGGTACCGAGATAGACAAAGTAAGCCAAATTGATTAGTAGATCGATAACGTTTGACACATGCGATTCTTCTGTCTTCTCGCTGAACCAACCATCGTTTGAGAAGCCAACACCGGCAGCGAACCCGACAAGTAAGTCGTCTGTACCTAGAATACTACCCGACCCAGCGCAGAATAGAGCCAAGGTAAAGTAGAAGACGAGAAAACTTTCACGGTCGATCAAGTCGTGCCTTTCAGCGTATTTGATGCCATGTCGTGCAATATACCCAATGAGAAACCCGTACACAGCGCCGAAAATACACTCGTAAAGGACGGTATATACAAGCCAATGATACGTCGTCTCTTTGGCGTCCAAGTGCTCCTGTAGTAGGTACAGGGAAAGGTAGATGAAAGGGAAGGCCATGCCATCGTTGCAACCGGACTCGGCAGAGAGTAGATCTCTCAAGTGCTTCGGTACTCGTTTTGCAAACTTGCCCTTACCAACAACTGACGAAGCAAGAACAGGATCCGTAGCGGTGACGCAAGCTGCAACAACTAAGCTCTCGAGCCAAGATAGTATCGGGAACATCCACCAGACGATCAAACTTGTAATCAACCATCCAAAGGTCATGACGGGAAGCAGTAAGAATACCACAGATTTCCAATGCCTCTCCATGTAGTATTTGGGCAATTCTACCCCGACGGCGAAACACTGAACGACCAAGACAATTCGGGAAAATTCAAGAGTAATCTCGTCGACATTTCCCCACGACACGGGATCAATCAGATTCGCAGCGTGAGGGCCGAAGATAACACCGCAGAGAGTAGCGACAGTCGCTTCGCCGATATACATACGCTCCTTAATAACGGAAGAACAGAGCATAAAAAGCGAAGTAAACCCTCCTAAGATGATATACACCAAATGGGGTTTGGTAATCGAGAGGTGATCCCACGCCATTGTTTATAGCAGCGTCCCCTGGACGACTCGTACGGGGCGGGGCGTCCGCAAGGCGAGAAAGGAATAGATAAGACTGCAGCTTACGGGTCGAGGTTCAGGGAGGACGTTGGTCGGACGAGGGCGTGTATATTGGTTTCTTTGCGAATAGCGAAAAGACTCCAGGAGGCGAGGCAGGACTTGCGACTCCCCAACTTATGAATACGGTTCTGGGGAATTTCTGATCTAGATGCATTCAGGACGATGGTTTGCATGCCAAGTAACTGGCAGACTAGCTATACGATGGACCAAGACGTAATTGTAAGTAAAATCAAACCCGAGATAGCCGCTAACTGCGATATTCTGAAGATCGCTAGTTCATTTGATATTTTTTGTTTTTTTTTGTTTACGCGTAGGGGATCCGCTCATAAGAGAGGGGGGGGGATGCGTCGCGGCAGCACGAGCATTAAGCAAATGGAAGATGCAGGGGCAAGATCAGGTTATTGTCTCTTGATGCCCAGCTAAGGAAATGAGACAATAAAAATATAACATAAAATAAAAAAAGACCCGATGAAGGGGGTTGTTGTAGTACACGAAGCAACGACACGGAGTGATAGAAAGGACTGGCGACTTCGAAGTTTTTGTACTTACTAATAAAAAAAAATATACAATCCTGAGCAGTAGCTCCTGTTGGCCCTTTCGTAATGATGAATTTGGGGTTTTAATGGACCCGACTCAATGATCCTAGTCATTTCCTAGTTACTACCCTAGCTACTACCCTAGTAAGTTTAGTGGGGGCTTTGGGCAAAACGTGCATGGGTCTCATGCGTGCCGGCTGGGTACTTACGGGATTCTGATAGGTCTTATGGCGGTTGGCGGTGAGTACCTGTCATGTATTTTGCAAGTATCTAAATCCTTGCTGCTTTTACGTACTTCAATAATTCTTAGTACACACACGTTTTCGACGCGGATGACCTGAATATGGTCCGGCTTACCACCAAAGTAGCTCTGCAGAAGAGCAACTAACCAATAACTTAATACAATTGAGGCTCAACCGAAAAAAAGGGTGATCGCGAGCGGGGGATTGGAATTCTAGATGGAAAATGCGGAGTGTCGAAGATTGCGGGGGTACACTAGACTAAGACATCGGTGAAGCTCGCCTTTGTTTGCATGCGTATAAAATCTATAATCCATAATATGTATAATCCATATAAATCCAAGCCGACGCCCGACACGCAACCTCGAAATGAACCGGCGGAATGTTGTCGACGGCTGATGTCTCCGATGCTGTGGAACTTGTCCTGTCATTCCACACAGCCCACGCCGTCGAGCTTCTACCTGCTTGATAGGTTAGGTAGCTATTTCAGGCAGTTGAAGTGTGCCTTTGAAGATGCCTCGTTTGTGCCGAGATGCCGTGTACTCCCGGATGATATTTTCAGAATCAAGGCCCTGCGGAAGATGATGCTATTATACATAGATCGACGTGCATTTTATATACCTAAGTAGGCATGTGATTGTTAAGCCAGAGATAAGTAAAAGATAGACAAAGATAGACAAATATAGACAAATTGCGATAGATGACCCTCGTAGATCCCACCTACTTTTATTAATTTGCAGTATTCTAACATACGATGATTAGATCTTCTAGGTGACGACTTGGTCAAGATAAGTAAAAGATAGGCTATGCTAAAGCTACTAGAGTCGCTAAAGTTGCAAAAAGCTGTTGAAAAGATAAAGCAGCATGGCGCTAAACTCGAGCCGGGAACCCGACTTCCCACAAGTATACAAAACCAGTACTTGGATGTTTCAACTTCCACGAGGAATACCACGGTCTAAGACTTTTTGTCTCCAATTCAATTGTTCCTTCAATATTCGACGTTTTCATCACCTTATTCCGAAACTTTCTCTCGATTACTACCGAAGTAATTGGTCCATTTACAGGAACAACCTTCATTCGCCTATCATTGTATTGTATTACCTAGATCTCACTTCGAGACCGATCTTTTAATCTATGCCCTCCTACTTCTAACTTACCTAAGATATTAATTCGTAGCGCAACTAAAGTGTGCAGACAGGCAGATAAGAAAGAAAAGAAAAAGAAACAGAAAAAGAAACAGAAAAAGAAAAAGAAAAAAAAGAAGGGGCGTGGCGTACTACGCCCATGTCCAACGTGACATTAAGCCCTCTTGGCGGCTCTTAGGAGACTCCAATCGTCTCCATCACATGACGTCGTTTTACTCGCTTACATGCCTCTGCCGCTCCGTATCAGCCAACCTGCGCGCCGGCTTAGCAATGCCTAAGGCCTGCTTGCGGACTCGGCGTTCTAGGCATCCAAGACCCAAGACATTGGCAAACAGAATCTGTTCTTCGTGACCAGTTTGCCTGTTTTTTGAGAGGGCGAAAGACGTCGTAGCAAGCTTTTCTCAGAGTATGCCGAGGTTTCTACCCCTATGACAAGCGATGAGATCTTAGATGCCAATACATACGTAAGAGAAAATATAGCAGTGCCGAGCTCATCTCAGTTCACTGTTTCCCCGACGTGCTCTCCCGGCCATGCCGGTATCCGAATGTCTCACCGGCCGCACGTGGGGGTGCTGTCGAACTTATGTTTCATCACACAGGCTGATGCTTTTGGGCTGCGCAAGCACAGCAGGAGATCGGGTCACGAGACTATTTGAACGTCCGTCTGCGGCGCCGAAAGATCCAGACGCAACCCATACCCAGACCCATATGTAGTTCTTATCACAGCACGGCTTGCTGCAGCTTTAGGCGCGCATGCGGTTCCCAAGTTCCGGGATTACGGTCCCCCTAATTCAACGACTCAACATTCAGTGTTAATTCGTTGAGAATCTCGACGACAGCGAGCCTCACTCAACCTTTCGGCTTCACGGAAACTATTTCTATGAATTGTGATCCACATAGTTTCAATCATACAATTAATATACCCGAATGTTGTTTCTTGGAAATTTTCCACTTTAAGTTCGCGTTCGCGAGAGACGTACGCGTCTCCTTTGTACACTATTTCACAGTTACCCGCAGGGTCCACTAATGACGCGATACAGTATTTTCACCTATCTTTTCAAAAGCCTTTCGGCCTTAGTTTCGTATACGGTATCTGTCTTGACCGAGATTCAGCTTCTTGGCAGCTGGTCCGGTAGCTCCGCTATTGTTACTAAATCCGTAGTTCGATGGATCTTTGTGCGACAATACGAAAACTTACGAACTATGGCTCATAACCTTCCGTAGTCTTTGCCAACACCTGCAAGTCACCAACCCACGAGCAGGCTAAGAGGTTAGTCTGTAGGCATCGTTAAAGCCCGTCTTAGCACCTTGAAATGAGATCTAGAAGTCTAAAATTTCCCCAGTTTCTCACTAACTTTAATTCGAAGTTAACGAAATTTAATAATTGCGATCGGTTTCGATCACCGCTTTCTTCCCATACCTTCTTATAAAAGGGAAATCTCGGGGAAAAAACCAAAACTTCCTTGCTATTAAACAGACCAAACGCTCAGATATGCCAGTCATCTTCCTTCATATGGATTGAGTTACATTAAGACGTCGTTACGGGATTTATTAATAGACCATTGGGCGGTTAGACAATAGACTCGAACAACTCATATGAATACCAATGCTACCGAATCCTTCTTGTTCCAATTATCTGCCATGCGTATGCCAACCATCCAACATACGTCCGACATACGTATAATAGGAGAGAAACATTCTCAAACACCATCCGGGCCTATAGCAACCGAGAATACCCGCCTTAAATACCTCCAAATAACCCTTATACACTAGCCGCAAGGCCCTCCAACTTAACCGGGATACCCTCTGCCTTCGCAGCAATCGCATCTCCAAACTCCTCACGGCCATCAGCAAACACCTTCTCAAAGTCGTACTCACTCCAGCGGATGTCGGGATTGAGACCAGCAAACTTCCAGACACCGTCAACCTTGCGGTACCAATGGACGTTGGTAGAATGAGCGTGACCCTTAACGGCGACCTGGCTGCGCGTCGGGTCCGTGTACCGCTGGTGCGGCACGCGCAGCTGATGTGTGCCTATAACCTCCGTGTCCGATACCTTCTCCCATTTGGAGCCACCAATGAAGTGCTGTGTCTTGAGCAGCGGGTCCCCTAGTACTGCCGGGGACGAAACCATAGTCACGAATTCCTCGGCCGGCATCGCCTCCCAGAGCTTGTCTAGGAACGAGCGGTAGTCAATCTATCAAAAGTTAGGTAGGCCACAACGGAAACCCCTCGCTTGAAGATGGGCATAGTTAACGCACGCGCAGAGTAGGCGCTATACACTCCCGTAGTCTATTCCAGTCCTTGGTGTCATAGCTGTCCGCCCACTCGACTAAACAAGCCTGTAAACCGAGGTAGTCTAGTTATCATCAGCATGCATAATCCAATGTTTGATGCGACCTATGCTAGGCTCTAGCAAGGATGTATTTGCCATACCCTCGAAACTAATATTTCCGGTAGTCATCTTGTGGATCTTTTGAGAGCCGCGGTTGTAGATTGTGGGGTATTTAGCTTAAATTATATGCAGCGAGAGTGCTCTTATACTTCTTCTATTTCAGCCTTAAGAGTAATTCGTATATGGCCTCTCCTTAACTTATATTTGTAAACGGATCCCCCACACGTCCGATGTATAGTTAGGGATGTCCGCCCCAGCTGACTGGAATTTTGCGTAACCCGACTGTATGGGAAAGCCTGGGAACACCTGGGAACGCAGTCCGCGCCGGAGTTCCCCACCTACTATTATATTCTAAATCAGGGGTCCAGGATTCAGCTGTTACAGCTTAGACGACATTATAAAGCGTGTCCTTTTCCCGTGGGCAGTGGCTAATATTCGCTCTCAGATTTACTCCCTTGATAGGATATCTGCGACATTCGAGTCGTTGGAATGTGGTGGTGTAGTGTTGGTTCATATGTAAGGCGATAAGTATCGAGATCGGAGCTTACCTTTAGGTACCTTAGGTACCTACATGTATGATGTAGATACCCGCCGGAGCCGGCAGTTACCATCATTTGCATTAGTCCCCGCACGGCTCGCAGCATTAGGGTGATACAACAGAACAAGTTGCCCGAAAGCTATCATATCATGTGTAGCTAATCGCGTGGCTAATATGAATCAAGTGTTACCGTTACTAATGCGGCATAACTTGAAAGCGGTGAACATAACAAATAGCAGCCATTGGTGTTGTGCCTTGCTATTTTGGCAAACCACCTGAATAGTCTTATGCAATGAGCGTTCCACAGTAGACCAGATTATCATGCCAAGTCATTAAGGTAAAGACCTAACATTCCAATTATCATAAACATTATATATTTATTGATCTTACAAATGTCAGCTAATATATATCATCGTCAAAATGGTTAGGTAGATGAAGAATGGGTGCTATGGTAAAATATATAAAAGTAAGCCTAGAGAAGAAACGCTCAATACATGTATATCTTTAATTTGCTACATATTCTCTTATAGGGATACCAATAACGAAGGTAAAACTCTATATCTGCATACCCTCGTCTAAATGTAACATCTCTAAATTATTAACTACTTCGGACTCAATTTACCTTGCAAATGGTAACTTTCAACTTTGGATATATAGATTGGTATATAAGCTACGTATGCCGCAGGGATTCAGAAGAACAATTCATGTGTTTAGACTATTATCAAGACTAACGTGACAAAAAAAACCTCGCCTACCTGGTATCATTGAAGCATCTCTCAGAATCTTTCTCATAAAATTGTCAACCTGTCATATATCTAGTCATTCTGCGATATGTTTAGCATCAGGCCTGACTACACCGAGGAAAACATCCCAGACCTGTCTAGTAAAGTATATATAGTCACTGGCGCGAATACTGGACTCGACAAAGAAGTCACCCGGATCCTCTTTCATAAGAACGCGACCGTCTGGATAGCGGTGCGCAACAAAGAGGAAGGCCGTCGTGCGATCAAGTCTATCCGCAAAGCATCTCCACGGGGAAGCTGGAGCTTCTACACTTGGACGTTGGTGATTTGGTCTCCATCAAGAAGTCGGCCAAGACATTCCTTTCCAAGGAACAGCGCTTGGACGTCTTATTTGACAATGCTGGTGTCATGATGCCTCCGCACGGGAGTAAGTCGGCGCAAAGGGTACGAGCTACAGACAGCAAAGGTATCCCCCGGAGAGCAGCGTCCGCGTCGTCTATGTATCCTCTTCATCAGCCGAGCACATGATCCCCATGGAGGGCGGCGTCGACATGGATAACCTAGATTACAAGAAGGACATCTTCTGTGTGTATAAGCACGGCGTTAGCAAGGCGGGTAATTACTACATATCATGCGACTGAGTACGCGCGACGGCATCGAAAGGATGGCATCCTTAGTGCCGTATGCTTTCCCCTGGAAATTACGGATTAGATCCTATCGTGCATCGACCAACGTATGGTCTTAGTGGTCTTGGGGTGAACAAGGACCAGAAAGCTCTGACAGAATTGCAGGCATTTGATCCAGGTGCTCTCAAAACAGACCTCGATCGACATTTCAACGCGCTCGAGATGCTCTACGGGAAGGCTATTGTAAAGCCTGTGATTCTTTGAGTGTATACGGAATTGGTCGCTGGCCTCTCAGATAAAGTAAATACTCGGACGGTCGGGTGATTGTTATAAGTTTCCTTTCCTTTACTTCTCCTATTTTCGTTGATTGTTTCCTTCTTTTTCCGTGGGTACATACGGAATACAAGGTGCTGACATGATCCGTCTTCAGTCGTTCCATGGGGTCGGTTTGGCGAGATTCAAAAGGATCTTCTCCGTAAAAGCCCCAGTCGGAGGGAGGCACTACATAGGCTTTGGTCAAAAATATTGGGACTGGACGGAGCAATAGGCAAAGCCTTACGTGTGATTCTAATTTGAATATCCTTCGATTATTTGACGGGAGCAATGGACCGGAGATGTTGCATGCATTTATGTATTTGGAAAAAAAAAAATCTGGTTGAACGCGAATCCTACCGAAAATTTTCGACGGTAGGCTAGCCAATTCATCTCAGGGGTAAAACTTTTTTAATATGTATCACTAGGGACAGTTATCATATCATACTCCGGATGTTCAATCCCTGCTTTCCCGTCTTTATTCTCACAAATCATAACAGGGCTCTGTCAATTCCAACAGGAAGGATCTTTCAAATTTCTTAATTGCCCCAAGTCTTGCAGCTTGCCAAGTTAGGCTAAGTATCACGTAGGGACACATGGGGAAAGTGTTACTAGAGACACTTGCATACCTCCCCTTTCTATACATAGTATACTATAGTAACACAAGCCTTGCTTATAAGTTGTAACTAAGCTATAAAACATTTCACTCCTCCAACCTATCTAACCTAGTTGATGTCATCGCAAGTGCCGCGAGCTATCTCCAAGTTCAAGTCCCGAGCGACTACTTTTAGAGGACCACGCCGAGGTTATGCAGAGATCATTTCTATAAGAGTTTAGCCGATGCTAGATGTTACATACCCGAACTTTTGGAATCCCGAAAGGGTGCATTGCGCTTACCCTGCACTTTTAGTATCCAACTGGTAAGATCTATAGAAACGGGCGCCTTCCGTTTGTCGGAAAACCCCTATCCAGATAAACTCAGATCAATCTAGATAAAGCGACTATACTTTACAAAACACAATTAAGGTACCGGCGCATCTTAACTAGAACCACTCACTCCTCTAAGTCTTCTTCGACCGTTAAATTACCTTTCCCGCAATCCCGACATATAAATTAGTTTATATATTGAGCGTGGCAATGAATTCGGATAAGGAGTGCTCCGTAGCTGTTACGGCCTCACCACCTAGTGAGAATGAGACGGCTCCGGTTGTAGGTCCTATCGAAGTCGCACCACCGCCCGATGGCGGTGCCGGATGGATTCAAGTCTTTGTTGGACAGTAAGAATTTATTTTTGCCCTTTCCACCATCATGGCGACAATATTTCTAATGAACCTGCTTAAGTCTTGCCCTATTCAACACATTTGGTTGGTTCAATAGCTATGGTATCTTTCAGGACTATTACACGGAAGAGCTAAACCTACCACTATCGGCTGTTTCTTGGACGGGTAGCGTGCAAGTCTTCCTGTTGGCTTGTATAGGCATGTTCTCAGGTCGACTCTTTGACGCAGGTTACTTCCGCTCGTTGATCATGATCGGTTCTATTCTACAGATTCTCGCTGTATTCATGGCATCTATTGCTACCGAGTATTGGCAACTCTTCCTAGCTCAAGGTGTCTGTGGTGGACTCGGCGCCGGCATCCTGTACTGCCCTATCATCGCATGCGTGTCTACTTATTTTGCTCGAAAGCGCGCACTTGCGATTGCCCTTGTTACAAGTGGTGGCGCTACAGGCGGACTGGTATTTCCTATCATTGCGCAGCAACTTCCAGAAAAGATAGGTTTTCCTTGGACTATGCGGATCATGGGATTTGTAGTCATGTTCAACGCATCCGTAATGTTAATCTTTGCCCGCACGCGACTGCCACCGCGACCAAGGGGGCCAGTTGTCGAATGGGCTGCATTCAAGGAGTTGTCCTATTCACTCTATACGGCCGGCGCTTTCTGTGTCTTATGGAGCGTGTATCTAATATATAATTTCGTGAGTATCATTCTAATTTCTATATTCCTGTAGCGCTCTCAGTTATCTTCATCATAAACACAAGCTGACAATTTCGTTAGATAAATCACTACGGGAGGACAATCTTACACATGGAGCCTACAACTTCGCTTAATACGCTCTTCATCGCCAATGCAGTTGGTGTGCCAGGGCGAATAATACCAGCGCTCATCTCTGATGCGTACCTTGGCCCATTTCGGACACTGGTGCCGCTTGCTATCAGTGCGAGCGTGCTCTATTTCGGCTGGATTGGCGTGCGGGACCCGAGCGCCCTCTATGTCTTCGCAGTTCTTTCTGGTATTATTAACGGCGGTGTCCAGACCATCGCCATGGCCGGCCTACCGTCGTTGACAAAAGATCTAAGTAAAGTAGGTACTCGGTCGGGCATGATCATGACCGTTGGTTCCTTCGCTTGCCTAACAGGACCACCAATTGCCGGTGCACTGATCGATGTTGCGGATGGGCGATACTTGTATATGCAGATATGGGCTGGTTGTATTATGCTGTTAAGTGCCTTCTTTGTTGCGGCTTCGTGGTATGCACGTTCAAAGCAGGGTTTATAGTAGACTACTAGAGGACTCTACTAGTTTCAGAATTAAGTCCGTTGCCTTATAGAATGTAATAGATATAGCTACCTATGCCATTTCACTGGCTTTGCTAAGCCCCTTTGGTGTCTCTTATAAGCCATATGCGTATGTGTGCTATCGTCTTATAAGAGGCATTCTGCTCGTTGACAAGTAGGTTATTCCTATTATTTGGCTCAATCATAGCTGAATAAAGCATTTACGATAAGGAGTTTATCTACAGGGTTCCAGAAGTGACGAAGTATAGAAATGGGTAGTAAATAATTAAAAAAGAGTAGCTGATACTCATTGTTAAAATACGTAAATATTCCGGTATTCTTTTTTCTGAGGGTAGCCTCTTAATTACCTAGGCTATAACCTGGTATTTAGTGCTAATCAAGTAAGATGATGTCCAAGTAAAAGCCAGCATCGAGGTACCCATAGACGGTGCTCAAAGAAGATGGGAATTAGAACATCAAGCAACTGGAAAAGCCCCACAAGGAACGCCAACACCTGTCCAACATCGAATATATCGTCTACACCACTGAGATTATTCGCTCTTATTACGTGCTCAGTCGAGATTATGGACAATACGACCATGGCCAACGAGAGAAGCATGAGTGTAATCTCGGTTTGAGGTCGACCGGAACGACATCGTGACTGTTCCCCACCTCCTTTTTTAATATAAGTAGTGGCAGCCCACGCAAGCAGACCGATTATGATAACAAGGCTAGTGATCGAGATTACTTTTCCGACCGTCCGAAACCAGCCATCTAGTGTAGATTTGCCGAAGAATACGATCTGCATACATGGAGTCTCTTGCATAGTGTCCTGGCCGACGAAGAAGAACCAGCAGCCGTACGCCGACAGCGCGGCGTAAAATAGAAGCCGGCAAGTGCCCGAGAAGGAATTGATATCGGTTATGCCGCTTCCAGTCAAGCTCGAGAGCGCGCCTACAAGTATCCAGAAGACGATGATAACTTCGAAGGCGTGAATAGTACCTGCGTGTGTAGAGAGAAGCGTGCCAGCGAATATGGCTAGTTGCAGGAGTAAGTTGATGGTTCTGTTCACAGCTTCTTCTTCCTGCACAAATAGCGTTACAAGTAGCGTAGTTAACGATTGGGCGTAGAGACCGAGTCTGATTCCAATCCCGTAGAAGTCAGCATCGCCGTCCATTTCGCAATTTCCGGAAGATCCCATCTTCAGGGGTAGCTTAGTGGTGTCTCAGCTGATCTTTACTCGACTATTACCTAGTGAATGTCGATTTAATGCTAACCTGGGGTGTTGCAGTTTACTGTTTTTAGTAAGACGGTGTATTCTCGTAAGACGGAGAAACAACATTACGAGGCGTGTTGGCGAACCATGCCGCCTGGTAACCGGGGGAGGGTGGATAAGAAACTTTATAAACAACCAAAAATAGCTACAGCATCAGCGCGTTGCTATAACGTTACTGGGGAAGTTCTAGACCATTCTGCCTATCACCGTAACCGTTACCTTAGCTGCACGCGAGAACGTTATAATGTGGTTGGAGCCCCAAGTGATAGGCGTACAACTTAAAGAGGGGGTAGTGCAAGGCCAATTATTTGTTCCCTGAAAATAATCGCCAACATAGGTAGGTAGCTTTTATTATATGCCGTGAACATGGCGGACAATAATCCAGGTTGTCCAATCCAAGGTAAATCAGACCTGTATGGGTTAGTTTAGTCCTTGATTCTATATTATTCCTGACATATACTAAACTTATTATTTAGGCTAGGCGTACGCCTTGGTCTTTACTTACAATTCATCGCTATCGTGCTCGCGAGACCGTCGGTGAAACACGCTTTCAAAGCCATCACTAGCTCGACTATCGCTTTCGTCCTTGCTAATTTCATCGTACTCGTCAAGGAGAGTGCGTCGAGGACTCTATTTGCTCCGGAGGCATACCTCCTTTTCCTCCTCCTTGTTCCACAACTCATGGTGAACATGATAAACATTGATCTATCGAGGGAACACATCAACACTCGTGGTATCATCGCTCTCCTCTTATGGGGATCATTTTGTTTCTATTTCAGCTGGTTTTGGTGGGTGGGACTGGACGTCTTACCGATGTCCGGCTGTGAAGATGAATTTGGGTTCTTCTTCACCAAGGTCAGCCTCCGAGGTTGGTTTAGAACATTTAACAAGGTCCTTTGGACAATATCAGATATTGGGTTTGTCATAATCATTTCATCAACTGCAATTCAGGCCCTGATCGCACATTTGTGTAAGTTGCATATAAGCTACGATTAAAGATATACTTGGAGATATCAATCCAGTATCCTAATACTTTCGCGAAATAGCCCGAGAAGAAGGAGACGGTAGAGGACCAATCCCCTCTGATTTCCGTCACTGATAACCTTTCTGTAGATCCAAGAGTCGCAAGGGCTACCGACGAAAAAAGCACCGCTCACAATACACTTCAACATATTTTCCTGCAGGGTTGGAGTTTTTTCCCGTTTGCTATCTTTGTCTCTGGTGCTGAAATAACACTTCGGTACAATGACATCCGGGGTGTTAACACCGTAAACTCGGCCAGTCAGCTCGTACCTTTAGTCCTTGCCCTTGGCTTGTTGGTGCACGTCATTGGAAATACGTTAATGAGACTAGCCTATGGGTTCCGACATGCTTTCGACGAGGATGTATCAGGTTCGTGAACAGTCGAACCCCGCTAATCCTTCGTATAGAGTTCTAACATCTGAGACTAGGCAGGCTGGATAGTGACAACGATGGTAATCATAGTTCAACACGAAGCGACCTCAGACGCGAGCTGCGGGAAGAGCGGGGGTGGCTGGGCGTTATTGGCCGCTCTCTTTTCCGACTTTATTGTGCATTTACTGTAGGATACAATCAGGAAGAAGTGAAGCCGAGGCATCCAAGTAAGCTAAATTCCTACCGTATTCAAGTAGAATCCGGCGACTTACCTACGTTCAGATTCCGCTACGAGTTGCCCAAAGAGGAGTCATCGTACAGAAGTAGACATCGAGTTGGAAGGTGGTCCGCGACCTTAAATCGGACCGCGATTATTGGCCCCCAATATCTCAGATGAATACGATCGAGTGGAGCGAAGGAGTATTACGAATACTAATTACATCGGATCAGACGCAAGGGTATGATAGATCACCTTAACAATACAAGATATAGATACTTGGTCTTACTACAGTACCGCAATGCTTTGATGTTCAGTTCAACGTTACATACGTGCAATATCGCAAGACCTAATTCCGCTTTTCCAGCCTGATTCAGCAAAGCAGACGGACAGCAGAGTAGTGTTACCCGCTGTGTAATTTAAAATAATACCGTCAAGTGGAAGAGAAGCACGACTGTATCACACAAGTAAGTACGACTGCTGTCAACCTGCTACGTAGCATACCTATAGGCGGCTCATTTCAAGTTACACATATTAATACACCATATAGAAATGCCACTAATAATAAAAGCCTGCTTCAGAGAAGTCTGCTGATCGAGTTGTCTGTGAGTCTGTAGGATTGTCGTTGCAGTGAGGCGACTGCTATTGCATGAGCATGGGGCCAATAAGCATAGCCCATGTGGTCACACTATATGATTACATGCATCAAGAGAAATGCGGGTTTCTTGATTCCGGGACGGTAGCCTATCGAGCCTGAGGCTCTTGTGTTGGGAGGTTACACCACTTATGACCCTATGCTTGATACAAGTGATACAAAACTAAGCTCTGATGGCGAGGGCCTTGCTCCGCGAATTCTTCTCTCTTCCCTATTCCACGGTCTACATACAAGCAGGGGACTAAACTCAATGGCTGAATCTGACATAGAAAGCGGTGCTGAGGATGTAAGCTCTATGCTTGGGATTTCGTTAAATCGTAAGCTAACTCATTCCTAGTCTCCGGGACGGCAGCTTCACAATATGTTGGAACCAAGTATCGCGGACTGGTCGGAGCTTGGCTCAGATGCCTCTGCTACTGAAGACGATACTCTAAGCAGTGACGGCCCTGGACAGCTCTGCAATGTCAAAACGCTGTACGAGGGCGAATCTAAATGTGCTTGTTGCATGAATTGGGTAGAGGAGCTGCCAAAAGATATAGGTCCGTCGGCAGAAGAAGAAAATGAAAGCAGGCGCCACGCACTTCTAATCCGCATGCAAAGAAATCATAACGATGGAAAACCGGTGGTTCTCCATTCCATCGTTATCCAGAGTTCTCATCTGAAGTCGATGCTGGGTGAATTATTCGAGGAATACTCGGGAATAACTACAACGCTCAAGAAGTTGGTGTTTCGAGCACCGTTTCACTGTTTCTTTTACGAATGGAACCGTCTCGAGAAGATCGTCCGTGAGATAGAAGACCCCGTCAGCAAGAGCCATGCGCGCCTACTGCGGAAGGTTCTTAGGTCGGAATTAAGAGAGACTATTTCGCAAAGTAACGATCTGAATCAGAACGGAGTCATCACTTTCGACTATCTGTGGACGATTTTCAAACCTGGTATTGATGTTTACGCTTTTGAAGATGGGTATGACCGCATTTACAAACTTCAACGAGCTCAATACATCACAGGTCCCGGTGGTCAATTCTTCCAGGTGACAGTCAATGAGATTGATTATGATGGAGATACTTCTGGCTATCTGTCGAAGATCCTCCTCATTTTCAACTTTCCAGGCACGATGAAAGTCAGCGATCTTGATGTCTTCCCTGCTTCTTACCATCCAAGATTGGGTGAGGTTAAGGAAACTCTAAGAAAGCGAGGCGAAAAGTTTAGGGATATCCACCTCAAGCCGTATTACTACGGTGCATACAGGGGTATAGTTGTAGATGGAAAGCAAAAGCGCAACGTAAGTGTTCATATAAAACGGTGCCCGAAAAGAGGAAATCTAATATGTATAATACAGGTTGACGGAAGAATTGTGGTCGATCCCTCCTCGTATGCAACCTTTACCGACGGCTGTATCGATTTGATACCCTTGGACTCCAGTCTCTTGAAACCAGGAATGATGGTATCCGACCAAGCACACAAGCCTGCCTCTCCTTATCCCGGCCCGCTCGGAAGGCCAAATGTAAGTACCACAGTGAATCCATATTATACAATAACCAGAAGAGGGTTGAAGTTGATAATAGATGCCTAGGGACCAACAATTCCTTCTCCACAACCTCCGCCGCCTCTTCCTATAATTCATAGGGCTGGACCGAGACGGGTCATTAAGCATTGTAAGCGATAGTGTAAGGCCAGATTGGGAGGGTAACTAAACCAGAATATCACAGCACGAACGCAAGAACTAACCGACGACCTACTTCATTTATGCACCGGTTATGTACGAGGATACTGCTTTAAGATCAAGAAGTGGGGTGAGTATTTTCAATGAAAGAGTTGATCACGGGTGCCTCCGTTACTTACTACATCTTATAGTCATATTCCATATCGACAATATTCAAGATATCCAATGGCGCGATGACGCGTTTGACAGTCTCGTGTTGGCTGGTGGGTACAAGAACCTGATCATGACATTTGTTGAGAGTCATGTCGAGAATAAGGATAGATTCGATGATGTGATCGAAGGGAAAGGTATCGAGGCCTTCAATATCAACTCGTTCATGTAACTGAAGCTAACGAAAATGAACAACTTATAGGGCAGGGCATCAGTATGCTTCTGGAAGGACCTCCAGGTGTTGGCAAAACTCTTACGGCGGAAGCTGGTAAGTACCTAATTTGAAGGGTTATCTTGAATTTACAGTTTCTAACATACTCTCTTAATAAATATGTAGTGTCAGAAAAGCTAAGACGTCCCCTTTACCAACTGGGCGCTGGGGAGCTCGGGGCCGAGCCTGATACGGTAGAAGAAAACCTCAAGATGATTCTTGAAACAGCCGCCAAGTGGGATGCGGTTTTACTCCTCGACGAGTGTGACGTTATCCTTGCCGAGCGCAGTAACGACAGTCTTGGTCGAAATAGCATTGTTGCTATCTTCTTGCGTTTGCTTGAGTATTATCGTGGCATGCTATTTATGACCACCAACAGAGTTGAAGCCATGGACCCGGCATTCCAGAGTAGAATCCATCTGACTATCCACTACCCCGTTCTGGATGTACCGGCGCGCCGACAGATTTGGGAACGATTTATCCAGAATTCCCATCAGAAGTCGACATTACTTCCGCATAACTTCCTCGAATTGCAATCTATCCCTATCAATGGGCGCGAGATTAAGAATGTTATCAAGACTGCTCAACTACTAGCAAGTCATGAAAGGGGTCCTTTAACTATCGAGCACATTCGTACTGCATTGGGTGTGTCGCGGGTTGGCTACAAGCCTGGAGTCGAGATATTTCATTACGTATAAATGAACCTGGTTTATTATACGATGGTAGTTGAAGGTAGGGTGTTGGTCTACGTGCTTGTCGGTCGTTATAAGGACTTTGAACACTATGGCATCTGACGACTTATATCTTGATTTTGAATGTTACAGCTTCATACGAGGGGCTGAAGCGGGTTTTTCTCTTTATCTTAGCTATTAGGCGGCTACATCGTGATACGGCAGAAATGCTGCGTTCTAACATGCCCCGCGATAAGTCGCATAGGACTGAGCTATCTTTTTATGATTTGATTCTGCCTCCGAAATTGCGGATGCTATGATCCCCGTAACGGCTGGCCTTATGCTGCTGCTCAGCTGCGTAAATATTATTTGGTAGTTGTAGCTCTTCGCTAGTAGGCTTCTTGGGGCGCGCATGTTGGCTCTCATTACCCCTGTCAAATCGATCTCAAACGTTGCTATAGCCTTGGGGATAACTGCGGGGAAGATGATCCACGATGGAATATAACCCATCACTAATCCAATGTACCATGTAGTCCTTAGGAGCGATCGTGCAGAATAACTTGAATTTTCATTACCCCCACCTCCGAATTACCCATCCGAGGAAGCTGACGCCTGTGATCCAATGGCCCAAGGCCTTAAATTTCAGCTTGTCGCCCCCATTTAGCCAGACGACCAACCCATCCCCAAACCTCACCAGAGATAGAACGGCTGCGAACGTAGTGACGGCGGCCGCATTCCCCTGCCACTCCAAAGCAACCAGGGTAAGGCCATAGCTCATCTCCCGAATACCCTTAAAATACATGAGCGGCGACGTGAAGCTAATGCCAGAATCATCGTACTGGTCCGTCGGGGAAGGGCCCTCATCATGAATGTCAAATGGCAGGCCGATGTTATTGTACTCCTTCTCTGGCGAGAATATAGCCATAAGTCCACGGGCAAAGCATGCCGTGCCAAGGATGTACGAAGAGAAGGGCGAAAAGGCAGCCATTTCGAGGGAGACTTTAATGACGATGAACTCGTTGTGTTAAGTGAGTGCCTCCTAATGTCACTATTATAGACTATAGTAAGGAGTAATGGGGGACTGGATTCATGATGTAAATATTAAAAATAGTTGGTTTTACATTAACTAACATATCGACCTAACTGCTTTACCCAACTAAATCGTAAATCGTGTCGTGTGTAATTTGATGCAGCTCTCGTATAGGGCTAGCTGGATCTAGGTATGTTGGATCGGAGCAAGACAAGCGAGAGCGGGTCAACTTATCAACTTTTCCATTTGCCGTCTCTTACCTGCTTACATAAACTGTAACACGTGTTTTTAGTACACTGGGCCCATATTAAAACCCTCATTTTTCGGTCCCTCTTTAGCTGGGTATATCCTGGCCTAGTGCATATGGTCCTGTAATGTACGGATTACCTAGGCAGATAATTAATCATCTTTTTGGTGAAAGTCGTCGTTGAGTCTGTGGTGGTATTACGTAATTACTAGCTATACTGAAAATTACTGGGCCTTGCCCAGTAATTATGAACTTTACTCAATCAACATCACTTTACACCTTACAAGTCCAAGCTCAACCCCGTCTAAGTAGACTCGTCCCGGAGAGTCTATCTGCTAGTTTAATACACACCAATGGCGCTCATGATCGGCTTTCTCTAAGTGTTGGTCGCTGGATGAAAAATAGCGAATGTCATGGATGGGCTGCAGGGATAACATCTATGAACATCAATCTAGATACCTACCTACCTATGCTTGGCCACATGAGTTCTCACCATCCCAAGACCAACACAATTTGTCGGCAACTGTCATCAACCAACAATAGGATGGATGTCGCTCTTTGCAGATGGTTTAATTCCTCACAAGTTTACTTATGCTAGTATAAATGATGGCATCTACGAGGTAAACGGTACATACGGTGGCACGTTCGGCCTTGAGTTGATGACTCAAATTGTCGGCGGTCCTATCATGTTGCCTTTAATAGCACTATCGTGTTACCAACTTGACAATGCGTCACATCTGCCATCTTGGCATATTTTGCTCGCTTCTGTTTTCATACTGAGTATAAGACGACGACCTGAATAATTTAGCTTTTAGTCTCATTTTAGAGCGCTTTGATACATGCACATCGATCCACCTTCAAGATAAATCTTTACTATCTCCTTCAGTCATCGTCCTCTTCATCGGTCGTCTCTTCGTCGTCATCGTCGTCATCGTCGTCATGCTGTGCCTCGATATCAAATCTTTCCTTCGCGTCGTTTAGTGTATAGTCCGCAAAAGACACCCCCGAAAACAACAGATACGCATCTTCGAATTTGAAGAAGTACTTGTCCAACTTTCCCCCGTTTCCTTTCTTGCCATCCATCACGTAGACCCATAGCAACCCGCCGTCTTCCTTCCAGTCTTTCTTTGTCACTACGACAAACGCCTTCGGATAGACAGATATGTCTCCTTTTGAGCCGCGACCTTTCCCTTTATGGGGTTTGACTCCCTTATCCGTAGCGACATGAGCAGCGACCACATCGCTGAGCGTCTTACCCGCGAAATCAGCCTCGGGTTGTGCGATTTTGATTATAGGTGTTTCATTGTCTTCCTCGAACCACTCTTCTTGCAGGCCGGCGGCAACCTCAGTTAAGTTGACTCCGGGAATAAGGTTATAAAGGTAGAAAACAGCGTCGCCCCAGTGGTATTTTCCGTATGTGGTGAGTTCGGGCGCGGCTTCTGGAAGAGTCAGGTCTAGGGATGTGGACGTCATGTTGAGATGATGAGTGTAATTAGTTTTGTAATTGAGAATTGAATGACTTGGTTTTAGGTGTTTTGTATTAAGACCCTGCGCAGGAATTGCGATTGCTGAAGAGAAGGAAAGCAGCTTTTATGGCTGGTTTACTTAGGTTAGGTAAGCATGGGCATACATTGTTAGGAGGTACCTAAAATTGTTCCTTATAGGGGGGTACATCGAACTACTTTATGTGCTACCAACGGCTTTTATTTACGGCGTAAGACGAAGGATTTTCATCGTCGTAATTTCACCTGCAAGACATAACAGGAGAGGGATTCATTTAATTTAGGCACTTAGAGCCTCATTACCTAGGTACTTAATTAAGTTCTACCTAATCACGTCATATGAAAATTAACGTGGACCGTCTCTTCATTTCGGGCTTTTATTATTTTATTCCTTCACCTTTCGTGTATAGGCAGTTTAGGCTGCTTAAGAACTCTTATTTATATGCCAGCTGAGGAGTTAACTACCAGTTGACTGCTGGCGTTTGTAGGACTAATCAACCTTCTGGTTTAAGCTGTAATATAGCTATATATAGCAGTGCGTAGCCCTATAAGCTGCATTCCCCTGAACGTCTTGGCGATAGATGTTACCATCTAAGGTCTAAGCCTCTATCAAGAACTAAAGTACTGATCTTTAATCATATGTTGGTGAGATTAATGAAACGGCCAAGCTACGAAGCATCAGACAGCTCCACGAACTACCTGACATGGTAAAGCCTTTCCCATGCTGCTGTATCTGTAACGTTTATTTAAAAGTCTTGTCGGTTAATAGGGTGCTATGCGTCACGCGTGTAGGCCAATCCACCAACATAAGATACAATATCAAATAGCCTGATAGATTTGCTTGTCACTGAGAGCTAGATACATTTGAAAAGCACACGATGGACTTAGCTACGCCTTCCTTTCTGAAACGAATTGTTCTAATGGATGTCAGCCTTACGCCGCCATCTAAAGAGATTAGAAGACACACTAGTATCGTATTATGTGTCTAACACTGAAAGGGTCGAGGTCTTGAGCATATAAAGCGTCATGTATTCCCAATGCAGTCGTAGAGTATAGATGGAGAATCAAACAGATTCGGTTCATTCATTTAGTCAATATTTCCATCCCTTTTCATTTCTTTCTCACTTGTTTCATCTTGTAAATATACCATTATGAAGGCATCTTGGATCCTCGCACTGGTTGCGGCAAGTCCCATGGTCCTCGCCCTAGGCCAGGAGCCTTCTACTGGCACAGAGCTAGTTGACCGGGCGGTTAAGAAGAAGGTTCTAACCTTCGACTGTGACAGGATGCCGGAGGTCTGTCACAACATGTGCTATGGTATGACTCAACTATACGACATCTATCCCTTTCTCTTCCACCCTGAGCGTACATATCCTAATTTCTTTTTTGTAAATAGCCACAAACTGCAAGAACCAGCCTAAGCAACTCACCTGGGACAAGCCTCGCCCAAGTACCGAGAGTAAACGCAGGCGAACAGCAGGTTGTGGTAGCAATAACCGCTGCAGCAAGAAGAAACTTATGAAGACAGGGTTTAACTGCGACGAGTATCCCTTTGCCTCTACCAGAAACGCAGATAGGGGTGGCCAGATCAACCGCTGCGTGCCAGAAAGGGAAAATAGCCGTAAGCTGGATTTTTGGTAGTCACTTGACAAATTCAGCAGACTAAATATCTTATTCTCTTCAGGCCAAGGTTCAGCTCTCAACCAATTCTACCACTCCAAAGGCAAATTCAGGGCCACTGGATGCAAGAGCAAGAAGAACTGCAGTTTCACTGTCGCCTTCAAGGGCACCAAGACCAAGACCATTGGTCCATGCAAGAAGAAGCCCGACTGCAAGAACGACGGCAACCAGTGGACCAAGACTGGTCCTACCAAGCGCGAGGAGCCCCAAGAGCCTCAAAATGTGGCAGAGTACAAGCTCCGCCGCAGCGGCGACACTATTATGTCGTCTGAAGACCTGCAGCCTGGTGATCTCGTATACCACATCGTAGAGCGTAATGCCACGCTAGCCGAGGAGCACCACATGGGCCACGTTTTTAACGAGTTCGCCGGGGTTGAGCAGTATGACTACATGTCGGACAACATGGACATGGAAGAGGATGAGATTCTTGCCAGGGTCTGATGCAATATTTCATATATAGGGGTTAGGCCCACATAGAGTCCGGGTTTGGAAAAGGTTTGGACATTTCTTGTATATCTTACATTTACTCACCGACTGGATCGGGGCCGTATATCCTACATACTTCTTGTATATAAATTAGATGATGTACATCGTACTAGGAAGGGTTTGAAACCTTTTAGACTACCTAGACATTCTGCTAGACCTCTAGTCAGCCGGGCTACCGGGGGTAACGAGATCCAAATTTAAGATAATTATTGTGTTTGGAACTTCTAATTCACTCTAGTTATCAGATATAAGTTTAAACTGGGTACCGAACAGTTCCCCCTATTTAGTCTAGTTAATAGCGATCCTTAGAATACTAACATTACTCTTAGCTAGATACTGGTTTGCAAAGCTTAATGGGAAAGAGCATCTGCAGGACTATAATAACCTAGGATAGGAAAATATAATGGCCTAGCAAAAGAACATAACGTTTGGTGTAGATACGATGCGCGAGGAACCAAAAGCCGCCAAAACGTCAAACCTTCAAGCACTAAAAATACACAGCGGAATGCACAGTGCCTGTGGCTTCATAAACTTTAAGTTATAGCATAAACCTCAAGTAACTATAATTAGTCGAGATGTCCTCAGATTCATGATGCAGTCTTGGGGGTGATATGCCGCCCACGCGTCAAGAAAAGCGAACAAATCGTGTAAAGCGCACCGGCCGCGATAATCATTGCCCATACATCACCAATGACAGACACAATAACATCAATACATTGAGCCCGGATTTCGGGAGGAGCATTTGTCAAGACTTCGCTCCTGGCTCCAGCAATAGCAGCCTGGATCTCGCTCTTCGTGTAGCCCGGTCCCAGCACCTGTTGGATCCCGTCATATGCTTTAGTCTGGAATATCGCACTGGCTATCGCCAATCCAATAAGACCACTGGCACCTTGGGAGATATTGAGGAACTGAATGACGTCGGATGCCCTGCTTGGCTCTACCAGAACATTGCCTACGGCGTAGACAGCTTGACTTGTCGTCATACCTAAGCCGACGAGAACCGTATAACCAGCGATGTTCGCGTTTGACGTGTCGACTGTTACTGTAAACATTGTTGCTCCACCAGCAGTCATAAGGAGACCGCTGACAGTAAACCAGACCATATGATAGCCAACCTTCCTCATGGCTGCACCGCAGAGGAGGATTGAAAACACATAGCAGCAAACGTACGGGAGCAATCTCACAGCGGCGCCAGTACCGGTAAGCCCATAGACAAACAAGTAGTACAGCGGAATGTAGTAAACGGCAACGAATACAGCAGCTCCACCACAAGCCATGATTATGAAGAGAAGAACCAGCTGAGGATTTCGTAAGAAATCACAGGGGAATAGTCGGTCAACCTTGGTCGTGAAGATGGCGCGGGCTTGGGATACACCGAAAGCAATACCGCAGACACCAAAAACGACGAACAAGGCGATAATACGACCATCACTCCACTCCCATATAGCGCCACCAAAGGTAAAGGCAACGGTGAAGCAGCAATACATGCCAGCGTTGAGGATGATTCCCAACCAATCCAAAGTCTTCACTTTGTCCGACAGGGCTGTCTCTGGCTTGCGTGGGATGGATGGGAGCAAAAAGAGGTAGATCGGAGCCATGACGGCGAATATGCATAGATTAAGGTAGAATGCCTGGAGATGCATTAGCAACATAGACTTAGCCAATGATTATCATGGGAACTATGCTTCTTACCCATCGCCAAGTGGCAGGGCTGTCAGCTAGAAGACCGCCAACAATAGGCCCCAGGATACATCCAAGACCGTAGACGAAGCCAATGAGCCCTACATAGAAACCGTGTTCCTTTGGCGAGCTCAAGGCAGTGCAGATGTTCAACGTTCTATGTAACCATTAGTAAATAGACTTGATTCGACTTGATGGAGTATGTCCTTACCCGAGGTACATGCCCGCTCCGCCGGCACCAGCCCAAACACGGCCTACGATCATGGCATTCATGTTCGGCGCACCTCCACAGAGGGCACTAGCCGCAGCAAAGTTGGTCAGGCAGCCAATGAAAATCCACTTATTGTCGAAAAGGCCGTATGCTTTGCCCAGCGGTAAGATCATAACGGCCGAGCCCAGCGTAAAACCAACACCGAGCCATCCCAGCTGTGCAACATTGCTGTAAGTCTCCGAGACCGCACCCTGAATATCGGCAACGATGGTGGAGTCGAGACCGTAGAGGATATTTGCCGAAAAGATGGCGATGCAAATGAGAAGCCATCGGATACCTCGAATGGTGCGTTCTTGTACCTCCCCGCTGCCCTCGATGTCACTCGAGTTGGACGATGGCTGTTCCTTAGTATCGACCTTAGCACTGCTGCGCTTCTCGATGTCTTGGCTGTAGTCCGCCATTGGTGCGATGGTAAGGCACCGAAGGTGGCTGAGTTATAAGGCTTGCCGGATGGAACTAGTATCGGACACGATGGTGGAACGAGAGGAAATACAATTCAGGACCCGGTGCTAAAAGGTCTTTTATTCTCAACTCAGAATATTTTGATATCATGATTGTCACCCTGAACTTGATCCGTCTATTTCGGGCTTAAGGAGTTAATCCAAAGTTCTTTTTATTATTATGCTGCAGTTCAGATTTCGTGATGTATAGCCGTCTGTTATTACCTTGGCGCGTCGTTAAACTGTCCGTATTGCGTCTCTGAATGGACTGTGCCTAAGGCTGTCATGCTTGCTTATGCCATGGATCCTCTACCAAAAGGAGATAGAGAAAGTTTCTGATTGGTCCGATGAAAGAGGCGTTGGTCGGAGTCCTCCTTTCGGGTGCTGACTTAAATAACTTGAAGCGGTAAATATCCCATATCTCCTTTTGGAAAGATATTACATTTATGCCTAAAGTTTCTCAGCTCTGACTCCTTGAATGAAAATAACAGAAAATTTCGAGAAGCTCCAGATCCTTCCTATGATATCATGATGATAAACTCCATG